TTCATGCCTTTCATTTTGTATGGGGCTCCTAATTCTTTTTATAATATTGTTTATTTTTATAATTTTAGTTTTTTATCCTTATAATTGTTGTCCCTAATTTTTGTATTCCTATTTTTTATCTTTATAATGGAGACCCTTAATTTTTTCAATCCCATTTTTTTACATTTATAATTGATGATTCTAAGTTTTTCAATCACACCTTGTACCTTTATAATTAAGTTCCTGCTTTTTTTAATCTCATTTTTTACTTTTATAATTGATGCCTCTAATTTTTTTCAATCTTACTTTTTACCTTTAAAATTGATGCCCCTATTTTTTTAATGTCACGTTTTATCTTTATAATTGGGGTCCCTAATTTTTTCAATCATACTTTTTACTTTTATATTTTAAGCCCTTAATTTAATCATTTTTATACGATTTATTAACGTAATATTAAATTGATTATTCAAAATATTAGAATATATTTTCATTTTATAAGGGTCTATCTTTTAGTTTCGCTCAGGGTCCCGAAAATGTATGAGATAATTATGTATTTATTAGATAGTTTATTAAACGTACTAAAAGAATAATTTACAAACAAATTTATTTATTTTTTCTTTTTCTTACAATTTATTTTTTTCGATACTTATGATCGGAGGCTTAATTTTTAAATTCACCTCAGTCACTAAAATATGGGCTTGGTGTTACCATCAACCTTCAGAGCATGACCCAGACAGTTATCCATAGCGAATAACACTCGTTCATTATAGTATTGAACCGGTAGGTCGGGAAAACGCACCCAAACAGCAGTGGCGTCAATCGTTGTTGTGGATGGATGAAACTCCAGGAACCACTTACGGACCATTAAATAGTGACCATAAATGATCCAGGGCCTTCTTCTAGAGCAAAACGGAGATCATCCGAGGTTGAGAACTTCATGAGGAATAACCATCACCAACGTCAATTAACTCATGATTTGCCTTGGGCATCCACATTTTGCGTAGCCTCTCCTCTAGAGCGCGAAAACCAATAGACCTGCCCAAAAGTTTCAAGATTAAGCAATTAGACCATTGAATATTAAGGCTAGCGTGGAATTTGTTTGAAGTGCATAACGTCGGCCATGAATCCATAGTAGTTATAGAAATTAGACCCTCATTCTTATCTATTGGACCGAACTCGTTAGCCTTCTAGAAACCATTTATTAAGCTTTTTCCCATAAGCATGTTTCTATAGGTTTTTTTTTTGGGAATTCGACCCAGTAACAGGCACAGGATTCATGAAGGTAGCATCCCCGATCCTTCAGTCGTCTTGACGCTATCCCCTATTTCTACATCCTCCTCCTCACTGAAATCAACAAGGGACATCGTCACTTTAATCTTCTTCTTGCTCCGCAACCGTTGATCATGTTCTTGGCTATATCTCTCCGAGTTCTTTATCTTTTCCAACGTTATTCTAAAATCATCCATACACTCAATTTTACCAACCAAAATAATATCGGGTCAAAAGTAAAGTTGGTGCTTTACCTTCATCATACTTGATCCACGCTCTAACCCTTTTTATATAGTTTTATACATAAAACCCTAAAATTATTTTTTAAGGGAAAATCTTAAAAATTTTATTTTTAAAAGTATGATTTTATAGGTGTTAAATCATACATAGTCCAAAAATAACCAATGACAATTCTTATTTGCAAAGCACGTTTTCTAAATATTTTTTGAATCTAACTTCTTTAATAATCCTAATCTTTAATATATAAATACTAAAATCTAAAATCTTTAACCTTAACTCCTTGAATGTCATAGTGCATCCCATTTTAAAATTTGTTAGTGCTCGCTCAACAACTTCACCTAATCTTTCAAAAACAGTATGGGCCTTTGGAATTCAAATAAATAAATTGACATTGATCTTTGAGTAAGCCCTGAAGCCTGAGTTGAAAATCTACAGCCAATTCATAAAATCATAAGCCAATTAATCCCAGAAACTAAGTCAATCAAATCGGTTGTCGGTGACAATTCAATTCCTTAATTTTTTAATCAACACTTAAGTTCGGCGGATCATTAGAATTTAAGAGGGGTTTTTCAAGAATATTGGTATAAAAAGAAGGTTTTGCTCAACATCTCGATTCCACAACAACGCGTCGATAACCCAATTCTTGGCTTAACTATTCTCGTTGGAGCGAAGAATTTAAGGTTAGTGTTTTCGCTACGTCTTTTATCTTTTCTGAACATGATTCCAGTTCAAGATTGTTAATTTTCTTTCTTCAATGATTATCAGGTTCCGGGACTTTCCTGGGTTTTGCATTTTAGACGTTAAAGATTGTTAATTCAGTAGTTTCGAGTTGATTAAATCATTCGTTGCTGGCTTTTACATTAATGGGATTTACAAAGACTAGATCAAAATGAAAGGATAAAGCCCATTCGTTGACTAAAAGATTCCTGAGAAGCAGATGGGTTCTGGGGAAGTGAATACCCATTTCAGTGTCTTTGATGGAGTGAAGACTTTCCCATTAACACCTGGGCTCTCATGGCTGAAATCTACACTGCAATCACTAATCTCGAATATGAACGTGCTACAGCTCTCCTTGACTCCCCATCTTCATCCTTGTTGAGAAACAATGGTCGGGATTCGCCCAAGTATGATGCCCGGTTGGCTGATGAGGCTTATAAAACTGGTTGTGCTGCATTGGCGGCCGGCAAGCTTGATGAAGATTTTCATTCTTTGAATGTTTCACTCTCCAAATGCCCACCTGAGAGAGCCTCTGTTGTTGCCAAGCTTCAGTCTCTTTTATCTCTCACTTCTCAGCAACTCCACAAATCTTCTGTTTCAAACTAGCCCACATTTTGTATGGTATTTGCTTCGTTTTGAACTTAATTTTTAATTGTTTCAATCAAATTTTGGTTAAAAGATTGCACCATGTTGCCTTTTTGAGATGCTTCTGCAACTGTGTAACCGTGTATGACGTTGGTAAAAAGTATATGAAGGATTCCTATCGTTGAATTTGGATCGAGTAATTCTTCTGGATAACAATGACTCAGTTTATATGTGAACATTAGTTATACCTGGATAGAAATATAAGGACATTCATGGTTCCCTTTTGGGTTTTGCATCACTCCTTGGGTATTTGTAATATTCTAGATTGTTGCGTCTTTTGAGGAGGTTTTCTGGGACTAAGATGAAACATAGGATTCTTGGTGATGCACCACTTGGTTTTAGATTTTAGGTGAGGTTGCTTATTTTAACCACGCTAGTTAGTGGCCTGGAAGAAAAGAAAGCCGTATCTCAATACAGATGCTATAGCTAAATTGGTGATATCTTTCATATCCATTGAAATTTGGGCCGCTGTGTTAATTTGATCAAGTTCCTTCTATGTTTGCTTGTGTTTTCCTCTCAAATGGGCCACTTTTACAATGTTCTAGTAACGTAAAATGGCGTCATCAGATGTTGAGTGAAAGATTCTAAACTATTATTGTGCTGAACAATTCAAAAGATTGTCTTGAGGTTTATTAGTAGTTGTATACTTGCAGTTGACCTAAACTTTTTTGGTACGACAGTACTGTTCTTGCTTTTCTGTGTCCAAGCTGGAGTAATACAAGAAAATCATAATCACTGAACTTTGTTTTTATTGCAAAATCTTAGAACTATTTTTTGGAAAGATGCAAGAAACGTTGAATATTGGTTGCTTTTTATTATTTTTTCACATTCTAATCTTTGGTTTGGTTCTAAATTAGGTGGAATCAGACAAAAGCTAGTCCTATCATTTATCGACATCCTCCATGGTTGGTTCTGGGATCTTCTTGTGATCACATTTGAAGTGGGGGAAAGGGGGAGAATGTTGCAACCTTTTCATTTGCCTTTGCTTCCTTGCTTGGCACTGGCACCTTCTAGACGTATAGGTTAACCTGGTTGTATTTCTTAGGCAGAGAATAAGGGTCTTAGGAATACGAAACATGATGTTTATTGTACCAGGTCAGTTTCTCTCAACTTTTACATCGTAAAATAGATTGTAATTGTTTATTATTACTGTCCCCCCTCCCCAACAATAAAGTTTGCCAAGCATGAAAATAATTTTGTCTGGCTTGCTGGTTATCTAAATCTCGGGCTTGTTGTAAAAGAACCGGGCCTTAGGGTATCGGTGCATCTTTTGGGAGGTTGATACTTGAAGGGGATGATGAACCGTTAGGCTTATATTGTCTTACAATATAACATTTGAGCTTCGGTTACTGCTAGATCTTGATCAAGTTTTCGATATGTAATGTAATATGATATATGTTCATAAACAGCCTTTAAATAATTACACAAAAGAAGAAAATCCTTGTCCAATTTGTTCACTAACAATATCATCTCATTAATGCATCAAATGTTCACTATTCACAATTAGGTAAGGTGATAGTACTAATTTATAGACAGCTAAAAAAATTCAGTTGATTCAACGAAACATGAATAGCCGCCTCTTTTATTCACCTAAGTTATTTCTCAATGTTTTTGTGCAACCTCCGTCTTTTCTTTTAATTTTTGTTTAGCCATACACTGACGACACTAATTTTAATATTGATTGTCGACCATCGATGATTATTTATTCTCTTATTTTTTTCGTTTTTTTTTATTTTTTTTAATTTTGAATAAGAATTTTTGTCATTGTGATATGTTTTTTTTAATTATTGTGGCATGCATTCTCTCTGTTTTTGTGGCACGATCATTATGATTTTTAATACGTTTTTCATACTTTTGCAGTCATTTTTGTGCTCACACATATAGTCAGGTCCCTTTTTGGTAAATATTATTTGTTGATATAATCATAGATAGTTTGGTTCACTCACACTCCTTATCACTTCGTAAAAAGGAGTTTTTATAAAAGTTATTAAATTCTTTTGATGTTAATCGTCATTCTCAGAATGTTTCATTTTTCTTTGTACTTTAAAAGTTTAATATTTTGGTTTTTGTACGAGTGTTTAACAGTTTTTTGAATCAGAAGTACTGTAAACGCGATGAGCAACTTTGTAGTTATTGATCCTAACAAACGATGAGGAAACATGGTGGAAAATCTCACCATATAAAGAAGCATGATTTTACACTTTGATTTATTGTTGTTGATAAACATAAGCCATTTATTTAGGGACCAAGCAAACTCCAACGTTCAAGGTTTTCCAGGAAAACACCAACCTGTCTCCTAGTATTCATAGAAATTATCTAAAACAGGGGAAAAATGTTGACGTGAACACCCTCAACACTTTAGTGCTAAGCTCTTTGCTCCACATAAGATCCAGAAAGTCCAGAGGTTCCAAGAACAGTAATCTGCAATGAAAGCAATCGGAAAAATATCAGACGAAATAGATTTGCATAATTTATAGCAACCAAAATATTTGTGCAGGAACACAAATGTAAATTGGCATCAGTATTTATCGACAGTCTTGTGCAAACAACTACCATGGACAAATATGATATATGCAGCAAAGAAAAACGATTGAATGGTGAATGCATCTATTCGCTTGTTTTACCTTATAACCAAAGCAGTTCTGCTATGACAAAGATTCTCTAAACGAGTTAGCCTTTAGCCTAGGGTTCAGATTGGTGTTCCAGAACACCAGATGGTTAGGATGTTGAACACAGATCAGGGAAGAACAAATAGCAATTAGCACATATGATGTAATCTGAGATGACTTTCCTTGCTGTTCTCACATCTTATTCACCATTTGGCACCTTATGGATAATCATAATTCTCTTGTTTCACTAACATGAACTACAAGAAAATGCTACGCAGTGCAGGAATGAACTATGTTATGCACCCTCGAGGTGGATCATGCAGTCGTAGCTGAATTTATAAATGCGTTGCAAATATTTTTAGTACCTTTCCCCACTCAGCACCAAGGTGACCACATCTCATCTTTAGGTAGATCATCTTTGATCCCAAATCCGTCTCCACCTTCTTTTTCAAGTAGATTTCATCAGAACCAAATGCATCCAAGTAAGTTGCATACTTCTGAAAAACTGTCTTAAGTGCAGCCGAAAAATCACTCGACAGAGGTTTTACATTCTGCAAAAGAGGATCCATTTCATCAAACGACAAAAGTTGCTAATAGTAAAGACGTAAAGAAGAAAATCATCAATGTTTTATAGATCATAGTAATACCTCTCCACTCATTCCAATACTGTCATCAAGTTCCATTTTCATGCTGATCAGAATACCACCAAACTCTTCAACAGATTCAGCAGCGCGGAAGACATTTTTCAAAGCTTCCTGGCCGGCTTTGTCATCAGTATTCTTGGACAAGGCTTTCTTTGCATCTTGTACCACAGAATAAGGAAGCTCATCCCAACTTGCAGCCATTAAGTCCTTAAAAACATTCCGAATCTCAGTGTCCGTTATGACAGGCATATGAGATACGTCATCACTAAAATAGCGTGTGCTCCCCAATCTCAGGGATGACCTGCCACCTGAATATTTTTCCCTCATAAATAAAATGCGTAGAACTTATACAAATTGGTATTGTAACAAGTTACAAATTGCTACACAATCCACTAGAAGTTCTTAGTAATTGTTCTGAGAGAAATATAATCATAAACACCCAAAGCACATCAAGAACCCATCAATTTCTAAGTTAGCCAAGCACCACAATCCTAAGGGAGTACTAAAGAGCATTAATCCGACCTTTTAAAGAGTAAAGTACAAGACTTGAACAGCTAAACAACCAAAAGTATACAATTTGGAAATCCCAGGAAGAAAAGTCAGCCACGAGCTATATCATTATAAAATGCTAAATCTAAGTCGATAAACCTAGAGATTACACAGATAATGAAAAAAGAGAAATGGGTAATCAAATACAGAAGAGTATAAGAGTACCCGAAGGAAAGTTAGTGGGCGGATTAGGAGCGGAAAGTGATGAGATTGAGTAGAGATTCCGGAAACCCAAGTGGTGGTTGTGATTGGTGGCAGCAACGGCAATAGCCGAGAAACGGGAAGATCTGAAACACGCGGCTCTACAAATGGATCTCAAAACCATCATCCTCTCCATTTTTTCTGAGGCTTTTTGATTTAGCCAAATATGAAGACACTAAACTAATCACATGACAACCGGAAGGTTGAAGTGCGTCTACTTAATAAAGGAATATTTGTTACAATTTGGGCCTGGGCTTTGGGTTCGTTATTGCTCTCTCCATTCTGGTAACGCAGCCATTCATGTTAATTTCATTTTATTTATGTGAAATATTTTAGAGTCGAGATGAGTAGGGTGGTTAATGAGTTGAGCATCTCGTGAGTAGTTCGAACTTAATTCAGTCAAAATTTGATAAAAATATGACTTAGATTAACTCGACTCGAACACGATATCTTAACGAGCTGAATTGAGCAAATTCCAACTTGACTCAATAAGTTCACGAGCAACTCATTAATTTTTTATAAGTTTTAAGTAGTTATCTTAAATTTCATTCAAAAAAATTACTAATTTACTAATAAATAATAAAAATGAGAAATTAATAATATATTAATTTTCTATTAAATAATTAAATTACTAAATTATTAATTAATAATTATTATTTGTTAAATTTATTAATTTATGTTTATATTAAGTTCTATATGGTATTAGTAGATTTTACTTATAGTTTAAAAAATACAAATTTTAGCGAACAACAACAAGGCGAGCAACTAGTTTAATGAGCAATGAGTCAAGCAATAAATTTTCTTAACGAGCACTAGTCGAGTAAAATTTTAACGAGTTTAACGAGCAACGAATCGAGCAATAAATTTTTTTAACGAGCACGAGTCGAGTAAAATTTTAATGAGCTTAACAAGTAATGAGTCAAGTCAAGCAACAATTTTTTTAACAAGCACAAGTCGAGCAATGTCTAACTCATGATCGACTCACCCGTAAACACCCCTAGATATTATATTAATTTTATTAAAAAAATGATTTTATTAAATTTGAGCTATTCTTTAAATTTTTAGTCATTCATTGAACCATTTTAATTTTTTTGTTAAATTTATTAATTATATTTATATTAAATTATATCGTATATGTTATTAGATTTTACATATATTTAAAAAAAAAAACTCTGACAAACTTAATAAGTAACAATCAAGTTAAGCAACAATATTTTTTAACCAACATTATTTTTTAATTGAAGTTATCAAATCAAATCAAACATGAATCAAATAATTTCAAGTTATAATCGTTAGTATGCACCCATGATAGCCCAACCTGACATGCCATGAGTTAGAGATGTAAAATCAGGTAATCGTTCAGGCTTTTGTTGGATCTTGTCAGGTCAAGTAAAATTGAATACATGTCGTGTCAGGTCAATTTGATGGTTGACTTGGATCAGGTCAGGTCCGGATCAAATCAGTTCGGGACTTTTTCAGGTTGATTTGACATTACGTTCGATTTGGGTTAATTTTAATTCGGATCGATGTTAGTTCAGGTAAAAACGGTTTAAGTTCGAAGCAATTAAATACCATATTAATTCAGGTTCGATTGACTTCAGTCGTATCTCGTTCAGATTGAGTCACATCATTGATATACAAAATTCAGGTCGGATCTTATCATATACGGATTGACTTCAGGTCGAATCATTTTCTATATATGAATCAATTATTTTTCGCCTTTCATTAATGTTGAATTGCAATTTGTAATTGTATATGATTTAGAGTAAATTACAAAAATATAAATAATTATGGATCAATTTTGAAAAAAATATAATTTAAAGGACTAAGTTGAACAAATATGAAATTACAAACAAAATTTTAAATAAATTAAGCAACACACATTGATAATCAAATCAAGAAATTAATATAAAATTGGACTAAATTGTATCCATTTAAAAAGCTGGTGACCAAAAGTTTATAAGGTTTGGAGATTATAATATAATTTATAAAATTTGAAATGAAGTTTATTATGTGATTTATAGGTACAAAGTAAATTACAAAAATATAAATAAGTATAGGCCAATTTCATATACAAATATAATTTTAAGGACTAAATTGAACTAATATGAAATTGCAAATTAAAATTAAAATAATTAAACAACACAGAGGGACCAAATTGAGATAATTGTAAAATGTGAAAAAATTGTAAAATAGAATTAATTGCATTCATTTCAAAAGTTAAGGAAAAAGTGAAACAATTATAATATATATATATTATAATGTACATTATACTGTACATTATACTGTACATTATACTTTTTTTAGAGAAACGGCGGGCCTCATTACCCTTTCTAGTCCTAATAAGGGGAAAAGAGTGCTAAAATTTTGTTATCGGGAAACTATGTTACAAGATACATCAAATGCAATAATCTCAGGACAAACTGACTCAAGATACATTATACTTATGCATACAATATAAATATACACTTATATAAGTATACACTATACTTAATATATATATATATATATATACGCACATACGAACCAACTTACCTCAGTGGTTAAAAGAATCAGTGATGTTCCTAGAGGTCATGGGTTTCAACACCAACGGTAACAACATGGTGATTGAGCGTTCATTATCAAATGGTTGAGAGAGTATTTAGAACAAATACTACTTTATACTCACCTTAGCTTAATAAAAAAAGTGTGTATACATATAAAATATAAAATATATAAACTATAAAGTATAAGCATATAAACTATAAAGTATATAAATTATAATATATATATATATAAACTATATAAACTATATAACATAAGTATATATATTATAAGTATATATGTAATTATGTATGATCAATGATGCATGCATGATGTATGTATGATGCATGTATATATATATATATATATTTATATTTATACATGTCATAATTTATTAAAAAAAAAGAAAAAAAATAATATATGTACATATATTAATAGTATATATATACTTATTGATAATTTCGTAAAAGACCGTGTTCTGGGTTTTTTTTACTTAGGTTATTGTTTGCCTAAAAGCCATTTGTCATAGCATTTTAGTTGTATATAGTTGCATGTAGTATACATTTCCATGTGGTGGATAAGTTTTGTTGAGGCAAACTTTATTTGGTTCAACTGATGCTGCTTTAGAGGAAGGTTGTTGGCCAGTTGTGTTGATGCAGGAAATGACGAATGGGGAATTTATTTGCCGAGACAGAGCTCTCCAGGGCTAGAGGAACATAAGAAAACGACAGTGAGGAACATATTTTCTTGCAAAGGCAAGCTTTATCTTGCAAGTCTGATGTGGCTTAATAGAATTGCTGATGTCACTTGCCCAATTTCATCTTCACGTGCAATCATGCCCTCATCAAGGAAATTGACCACTGCCAGCTGTTATGTCATTTATAAAATGGGTATGTCAATGAGGGTATTTAGGGAATTTCCAAGGGCACTAAACCCTAAAAATTCCCATTATAAATACCTCATAATAACTTTTCAAAAGGTGGTGCAATCAAGGAGAAAATATACCCTAGGCTTGGAGTAAGCGACTGCAACACCCTACTTTCCACCCTTCTCACTCAACCGTCCTTGGTGCCTTCCATAGCCAGGCTTCATCGGAGCAGCGGCCAGGCCCTTGAGAGAGGTCGGTCGTTAGAACAGGCGTGGTTGTGGTCAGAATGTTACGACAGAGCTCTTATTTTGGGAGTGTTTCTTCCTTTGTTCTTCATCTTCATATCCTGTTAAGGGTTGTACTTAAAAGAATGATTTTAGATGATATTCACCGCACCATGAACTGTTTTACTTGGTGTTGGTTATTGTCTTGTTGAACGTTATTTGCTTGTTAATGATGATGCAATTTGTTTATGCTAAGTGTTGTTTTATTCACTGTTTAAATATTTTGCCTTGACATTGTAAGAGATTGTCTGGTGCCTTGGCAAAACATTCCTAGACTTTGTAAGAGCTTTCAAGAGAATACTAATCGCTTGGAAATGTATATGCTAAGGCAAGTAATTCTATACAAGTATACACAATCGATTTAAGTAATAAAGGGTAAGTGAGTTATTGTCTCCTCAGGGATTGGTTGGCTCTTTTATGTTTCAACACAACCAGAACTAGTTGTCACAAGCTAATTCCTAAAGTCTTGTCCAACTAGAAAACTATTAGTAACAAAATAAATCAAGAAAATATTATAAAGTATGGTTGTAGACAAGTTTGGTCGAGGTAAAATAAATATGCAAAACTATCAAATAAACAAGGCAAAGACAAAAGTTGACTAAAATAAATTCAAAACAACCTCACATATTCAGACTTTTCACAGAACACTCATGCTAATCTTTTATTACGACAAGCAATTATTCTAAGTCTAGAATGAATTGTTATGATATGATTAAGTTGCCCGACAGGATTACTGAGTATTCTTAGACGGTTGTTATGGCAATACTACTTAGCGTTAACTATAACCCTTGGTTTGTCATACTGTTATTGTAGCAACACCTCTCAGCATGAACTATAATCTTTGTCTATCCTACTCTAGCGTCTATCCCTTTTAGCCGATTGAAACCCTCTCCTGATCTCTAAGTTAGGCATGTTAGAACATCACCATCTCGGATCCATTCAATTGTTCACATAGATCTATCTTAATTCTCTCGAATCTAAGAATCAATATCTAGAAAACGGTAATCTCTCAAAGCTATTACAGTGTCAAGATGTGTTTCATCTAGACCTAGACAATCTTTCGAAGCTCTTACAGTGTCAAGGCAAAATATTTAAACAATGAACAAAACACTCATGAGAAAAATCATAATTTATTATTCATAAAACAGAAAATAATTGTTTCGGCAAAACAAAGGCTAACACCAAGTAAAGCAGTTCATGATGTTGTCAAAAATTCAACCAAAGTATCATCATTTTAATACAACCCCAAGCAAAGTAAAGAAATTAAGAACAAAGGAAGAACGACTCCCAAAATCGGGGGCTCTGTCGTGACATCTCTGATCAACACCGCGCCTGCCCTGATGGCCAGCCTCTCTCGAGGCCTGACCGCCGCTCTGCTATAGCCTAGCTATGGAGGATACCAAGGATGGTTGAGTTGGAAAACGGTGGGGAAGCACTGCAGTTGCTCACTCACGCTTCAGTTAAAGCTCTTCTTCTTTCCTTGCCTCCTCTTTTTGGTGGCTGT